CATTTGTGATTTTCTTACGTCGAAAGGAATCGATTGGGCTCAAAAAACGCGCATGTGAAATTTTGATTTTTGGTCGAAATTTTTCCAAGGGTGTAGGTCGATTTTTTCAAAAAATTAAAATTTTCTCAAAATGTCTTAAATTTTGCATCATTTGCAGCTCAATGACACCAGAAATGCATCGAACTCATTGAAAAACATGGTAGAAGTTTCAGATCTGAAATAATAGACATTTTCGGCATATTTAAAGCGTTTTTTGAGCGCTCACGATCTTTAACCGACTATTTCTTCCTTATTATTAACCCAATCACTTTATAAATGCATATTTGTGACCTTCTTAAGTCGAAAGGAATCGATTGAGATCAAAAAACACGCATGTGAAATTTTGATTTTTGCGCGAAATTTTTCCGAGGGTTGGGGTCGATTTTTTGAAAAAATGAAAATGTTTTCAAAATGTCTTAAATTTTACATCATTTTCATCTCACGAACGCGAGGAATGCATCGAACTCATGGAAAAACATGCTAGAAGCTTCAGTTCCGAAATAATAGACATTTTCGGCATATTTTAAGCGATTTTTAATCAGTCACGATCTTTAACCGACGATTTCTTCCTTATTATTGATCCAAACGCTTTACAAATGCATATGTGTGACCTTTTTCCATCGAAAGGAATCGATTGGGCTCAAAAAACACGCATGTGAAATTTTGATTTTTTATCGAAATTTTTCCAAGGGTGGAGGTCGATTTACTGTAAAAATGAAAATTTTCTCAAAATGTCTTTTTTTTACACCATTTTCATCTTACGGATGCGAGGAAGTTCCAGATCCGAAATAATTATTCGCAATTCAAACTTAGTCACATATTGAGCAGCTTCTTAAGTTCCGAATAAAAAGGGTTTAACGCGAATAAAAGTCAACATTGAACATACTCCTTTACAAAAGACTCTGATTAAGTGGGCTCTGCTCTTTAGACTCTGCCTCTATTAGAACGAATAGAGCAGCAAATATGTTGGCCCTGGACGGGTCGCATCTAATGCAATTAATCTGAACTTAAAAATCAAAGTAAAAGTACACATGAATAATTCAGGGTAGGGCGAGGTACTTTTGACTAACTGGACTGTGTTTACACTTTCAATTTATGCCTCGTCTCGCCCGCTGTTTTCTAGAGGTGCCATTTGGATCCCTGACAGCCTCTCGCCTCACTCGCGAGCCTGTTTAATTACGACGCGACGCTCCAATATAATTTAATTAGAACGTGATTACACAATCGAGTCGGGTGCTAACACACTGCAAACAGAGTGAACTTGTTAGTTGCTGCCTATGCATCCAACTCCCCCCGACTCCACTTGTCTTTGGTTGTCAAATTAAGGGTTAAATGGACAATGGGCACCTCATTTGGCTTAGGGGATCATTCCCCATACTGCCGGCTGTTCCTTAATTGCGACTAAACTGTTTAGAATGGAACGTGCAACTTGTGTTAAAATGATTGTATATACTTTCCTGACTGTGTTTCAATTCAAAATCAAATCTATTCCTGGGTTTCAGTCATTTATTGTCTCTATTATTTATCAATCAAAATACGTTTCGGTGTATTTTTCCACCATCATCAGTTTTTATGTGTAGCGTTGTTGCTGCTTTAAGCCTTGGCATGCATTT